AGAAAATTCAAGCTGGAATGGGGTCCCTGCCTTTATGAAAACCTGATCTTTTGATTCTTACATAAAACCTCCATTTTGAATGATGTTTTTCATAAGAAATCAAATGGTAAGGAAACATTTGCTGAATCCTAAGATATAATTATGTCCTATGGTTGTAATAAAGATCGTTATCCCGCATCAGAAAAGACCCCATTTGGGAATAAGTTCATCATGAATTAGGCTGTCACGTCACAATCACTGCTGTCAAAGAATGTTGGAAGAGATCCTTTAGTTCAATTACTGCTGATACCACAAACCAGTGAGAAAGATGAGCATCATGGCTTCAAAGAATATACGACATTCACTTCTCAACATGGCATGTGGGAAATTTTAAATCTCTCCTTTCATTTTTCACCCCATTAATCATTCATTCTTTCTTCTATTCAGTAGCAACAATTTATTGAATATCTACTATTCGGTATATGACATACGCATACTACTGTGTGCCAAGACATAGCAGTAATAGCACATGAACCTAACACTCATAGAGTTTTTGCTTCCTCTGCACCAGGCACTGATCTCAGCAGACACATTCACTCTTTAATCCTTGCACCAATCTCCTGAGGTAAGTACATGTCCACTTTGCAGAAGAGCAACTGAAGTCCAGAGAAATTAATACCCTGGGTCATACATTTAGTGAGTGTCAGAGCCAGGGTCGAAACCCACATCTTTTTACTCCAGTGTCCATGATCTTGACCTTTATACGGTACGAAGAAATACAGACATGGCTTTATGGAACATTCCATGTACTGGAGATGACAGACATTAAACAAACACACAAACACATTTATCATCTCAAATGTTGGTAAGGTCTATAAGAAAAGAGCAAGGTGCCATGAGATAGTTATCATATAACACCGCAAAGGCTCTCCTTGCAGGCTAAGAAATGCAGTGATTACCTCTTGATGATTCTCATCTCACCTAAAGTTATACAATTTAAGAAAGCAAGTTGGCTAACAAAAGCTGGGAAAAACTAAGGGTGGGAAGCCAGGGAAAGTGACTGAGCAATTCAGCCCTTAACCCTTGCCATAGAGCCTTGCCATCTCGGTGGCCCTTCTTGTTGATATAGTCCAAATGGCAAGAGGGGAAGGACATGGCAAATGCAATCCCTTCTCCTAAACTCATTCCTCTTGAATAAAGAAATCCAATCTGGATCTGGTGCCCCTTTTTCACAGAAGAAAGCAATTACCTCATCTGCTGCCTTTGACCAAGAAGTCCATGGTGGATGTCTAAAAAAACCTTAAATTTTACCTTAATGCTTTAGCTTATTCTGTTTTTTAAAGATTTTTTTTTTAATTTTTAAGTAATCTCTACACCCAATGTGGGACTCGAACTTACAACCCCAAGATCAATAATCACCTGCTCTACTGAGGGAGCCAGCCAGGCGCTCCTTAATGCTTTACCTTGTTAAAGAATGAAAAGATTTATTTGGTCTATAATGGTTAACGCTTGGGCTTCTGGAAACAATTCCAGACATGGCTTATAGTCAATAAAACAAATAAACAAAACAACACCTTTATGAGACTTGGTTATTAATAGACTTGGAAACAGACCAAAACACTGGTTTAAAGAACAAGAACATGGAAACAGAGAACCATGATCCCAGAGCAACAAAATTCCTTTTCCATCCTGATTATAAAAAAAAAAAAAAAATTCTGGACTTTATTACCCTAGTTGGCCAATTACAGATCTACCTCTTTTAGTGTCAGAGAAATCATACAGAAAAAAGAAACATGTCTCTTCTTCTCAAGTTGTCTCTCTGTAGATTAGAAAAATTTTGCATCTCTGATTGTTATTACTTATTTTATGTATTATTGTTATGCCTTCAGTCTTTATATTAGGCATGGTCCATAAGTATAGGATTACATCCAGAAGTAGTATGACATATTAGCTCCTAATTCAGCAGCTTCACTCTACTGAGGTTAATAATGATTTACAGGGGAGAGAGAGGGACAGGGCAAGGTGTTCATAATAGCACCATTAATTATATGTGCTTTGCATATCTAGATAGAAGAGGAACATCATTTTCTAGGTCCAATAAATTAAGTACTTTTTCTAGTTCATTGTTCAGAATCATAAAAAGGATAACTCACAAGAAAGTCTCCTGCTCCATCATCTTCTTATCATTTCCATATGGGATTTTATGTTCTACTTGGCTCTGGTTTATGATGTTACTACGTGAGAATGCTTAGATACCTAAATACACAAGTTAATTGTTTGACTTCCAGTGAAGGTTAAACAGTCTCTAATAAGCAAATAGCACGTTAAGTCTCATCTTGCACAGCTTACAAATTACACTTGAGATTAGCCTAGGTACAGTTAAATTGTAAGTACGAGAAGGCTTAACATTAAAGAGGAATAGTTTAAAGGTTAGAACCTAAACTTGGAAAATAGCTTCCATTATGCTAAATTTCTTGTTAGTGCCATGAGACTTTAAAAAAAAGAAAACCGGGCGCCAGGGTGGCTCAGTTGGTTAAGTGACTGCCTTCGGCTCAGGTCATGATCCCAGGGTCCTGGGATCGAGTCCCATATCGGGCTCCCTGCTCAGCAGGGAGTCTGCTTCTCCCTCTGACCCTCTTCCCTCCCATTCTCTCTCTCTCAAATAAATAAATAAAATCTTTAAAAATAAAAAAAGAAAATCATGTTAAATGTGACATTCTTCAAAAATATCTTCTATAACCCATTCCCTAAAAATCTGTGAACATAATTGACTTTGATTCTTAACTGCCCATCATAATCATTCTTCCTTAATTAATAAATTGTATTAATAAATAAAATTATGTCCTTCTGTGGTTTATCCAGGAATAAAATACCAAATTGCAAATAAAGGTTTTAGAAAGTATGCCTAGAACTTAAAGACCTGCACTCCTCCAAAAATGAAGTCCAAAAAGTCCAAATATCTTCATTAGTATGAAGGCCAGCATCACATTTTACATTGACATATGGGAAACAGGAGAGTATATTTATGTCAAATTTTTGAAAACATGACATCATATTTCACACCCTGGAATGATTCCTGTGTGCTCTGTTCCAGAAAAAGGAAAGAAAAAAACACTGTAATCGTTGTAGTTGTATTAACTTCAAAGCTGGTAATTTTTTCCCAAAGATAGTTTTCTTTCCTTTTTTAAAATAAAACAAAAACAAACAAAAAAACTTGGGTTTAGAGTACAAAAACTCATTAAAAATTATTTAAGAATATGTTGTAGAGAAATCACCTGCAAATTACTTTCAGACCTTCGAAAAACTATCTAATTTGAATCATCAGTCTAAATAGGTCATTTAACTTAGAAAAATTAAAATTAGCTGTGCAGGGTCAATTCTTTTTCTAAAACATCTGCTTCCTCAATGTCCCATCATCTTCAAAGTCAAACTAGAGCCAAATGTCAGGAACAACTGTAATACGTGAATTTATTCCAAATCTCAAAATTAGTCTGCTCCTGAAATGACCATAAAAGTTAACATTATGTATATAAACAGAGGGTGTCCATGGGGTGCTTGGAGCATTTCAGGAGGGTAACAGTGTGAGGGGAGGGCGTGTTTTTCTGTTGGTGCCTACTTCTTTCCTTTCACCTGAACGTGTTCCCAGAACATGGCAAATTAAAATCGGCTGAGACACACTTCGTGCAAAGCAAATACTCCCATAATACAAGTTTAGTCTCCCACAAGTTTCTCTTATATCAACCAGCAGTATAAGAACATGAACTTTAATGCTCTTGTCAAGCACCTTTAAGGACTTGATCATCCTACAACACTCTGGTAAACTCGGGGATCAAATCCTTACTCCCCAGAAAACATCCCCAGGCAGAAGAATATGTACCAAATCTTGAAGGTAACAGCTTTTAAAAATGGGAGAAATAAAACGAAACACAATTTAGACAGTCTGACTGCCGAGATATCCTATATTCTTCCACAACCAGATCATCCATAAAATCAAAGGACCCAAAAATGTTGAACCAGGAGGGTGTCAAGTGTCCTAGGAAGGAGGCTGCCTTTAGAAGGCAGGGCATCCGAGGTGGCTAGCAGAGTGGGAATCCGCATCACCGGAAGTAGAGAAAGGACTTAGCTTTGTTTCAGGGCTCTCCAAAGCCACCGGGAAATGCATTCCCATCCTTTCTGGGTTAAAAGTAACTTTGATGCTCAGAAAAAGTACTTTCATATCCTCCAGCTAGCAACAATCTATCCTGCACGGGCAAAAAGTGATCAGAAATACTATTGAAAGGGGTTTTCCTCTCAACCCATCTCCCTAAAGCCACTTCCCCAAAATGAGATCTTGAGAAATCTTGATTCCCTCAAGATCTCTGTTGAAGGATTTAATGTAAGGACCTTTGCTGACAGGGAAGCAAACTGAGGACTAGACATCTGGGGAATCGCTAAGGAACATTCTAAGCTACATTTTTCTTAAAAGGGTGAAACCCAAAACAGAATTAGCATTTACTCATTTCCAGATGGATGATGCATTTTTAATAACTGCCCGGGACAGAGTGAAACAGTTTCACTCCAGCACCACCCCCTCCTGAAGCAAAGACAGAAACAGTCCCAGAGAGGGACAGAGCAAGCTGACTCTCCTTCCACTACAACCTCTCCAAATCCGCTTTCCGCCTGGCTGTGTCAGCCCCTCCTTAGTCCCTCAGCTCGCGCCCTAAGCGGCCGGCCTCTCCTCCCCATCCTCAGCTCGGAGCGGACTCGGCCCAGCAACCGCCCTTCCTCCCGCGCGTCCCCCCGGGTAGTGTCCCCCGCGCTTGGGAGGTTCTGGAAAGCCCGGGACAAGGCGCCAGTGCCGGGCTGGGGAACCCCCGGGGTTCCGGCCTCCCAGGGCTCCCGCACCCACCCCCAACGCCAGAACGGATTAAGTTGCTGGGCACCCAGCGGCGCGCACTGGCCCCCGTCCCTCCCACTCCCGCCCCTCCGGGCTCGGGCGCCCCACGGTCCCCCAGCCTCCGCCGAGGTGAGCGCGCACTCACCGGAGGTGAGCTGCATCCAGGCACAGATCTTGTACACCGTCGCCGTGTTGCAGAAGAAGAAGAGGGTGAAGCAAACGATGCAGGCGATGATGAGCATCATGGAGAGGCCGATGAAGAAGGAGGCGGCTTTGAAGGCGCCCGAGGGCAGCGTGGAGAAGTCCGTGAAGCTGCCCCTGCAGGTCAGCTCCCGGGAGAAGCCGTTGCCGATGCAGTAGTGGAAGAGCCCGAAATAGCCGGCTTGCGGGGTGTCCACGCCGTCGCCAATCCAGTAGGGCTGGATGAAGCACACCACGTTGACGATGGCAAAGCAGATGGTGAAGATGGCCCACAGCACGCCGATGGCCCGCGAGTTCCGCACATAGTTGGTGTGGTACAGCTTGGCAGCCTCCTGAGCCGGGAGCATCGCGGCGGCGGCGGCGGCGGCAGCGACGGCGGCTCCGGGCATTCTCCCCCTCCTCCCCCTCCTCCTCCTCCTCCTCCTCCGCCTCCCCCCGCCTCTCCGCGCTCAGGAGACACACTCACCGAGCCGCGCGCGCTGCAACTCCCCTGCCTCTGCCTCAGCCCAGCAGCGCCCGTTTCAGAGTCTGCATCCTCGCTCCCGGAAGGAGGGCGGGGGAGCGCTGAGCACCCCTCCGGCTCGCCTGGCACAGCCTCCCGGCCCCCCTCCCTCCTGGCCCGGGTTCCAGCCCTCCTCACCGCCCTCTACCCCTCTTCCCGCCGCCGCCGCTGCAGCCGCTGCAGCTGAAGGCGGCAAATCCCGCTCGGGGCAGCGTGGCGCGCGAGCTCGGGCGCCCCCCACTCGGCTTCCCGCCTTCCGCCCCATCCCCCCCACGCCGGGTGCCCCCGGGCGTGGAGGACCGCGGCGACCCCGGGACGCAACCTCGAGCGGCGGGTGTGGGCCGGAGAAGCGGGCCTGGAGTTGGGGAGGAGGAAATCTAAGGAGGAAGCAGAATCCCCCACAGGGATCCTAGAGGCGATCCCAGGATCCCGGTTGGTGTTCGGGAGCGGGCGTGGGAGGCTGCTTCTGGGAGCATTTCAGCACCGCACAGCAACGTGCTTCGACCTCTGCACCTTTGCGGAGGCGAGAGGGGCCGCGCGGCAGGTGCAGGCAACAGATGCACGGAAGAGGAGACGTACTGCCCCCAAGAGCCTCCCTGTTACAACCACAGAACTGCCCCCTGGCTAACTCCTCGGTTGCCAGGTGTTCCACGAGGTGGAGACAGAAGTTGGATAGGAGCCTGACAGACGATAATGTAAAGGCACACCTCAAGGGTGGTCTCATACCTGCTCAACTGAGCCGATTTCCTCTTCGCGTTTCCCCCCTCCATGCGGCCAAACGAACTGTAGCCAATGGATGCCCTATACTCCCCTTTAAGTCAGGTCATTTTCCCCACAAATCCTGCCATAGATGGAGCCTGCGGGGCATGGAAGTGACGGCGTCACGGAAATGTGTAGTCTGTCTGAAAACACTGGGCACTTCAGCTAGTGGTGTATTTCTCACGCAAATACTCATTGGCAACTATTCTGTGTCCAGGCACTGTGCTGGGTGCTGCTACCATGAGGAGGATCGATCGTTTTCATTGTCCAGGTATCTCCCCCTCTCCCACAACCCAAAGCTCCAGCTAACCAGAGAGTTGGTTTCAGAGTAATTTTCCCGTGAACGAGCCACAATGTAATTCCTTACACTTTCATGTAGCCTCGCTGTTTTACACCTGCACTTTGTACTATTTCCTTAGCTTACTGTTTTCCCTCTACCGTCATTCTGTTGCTCTTTTAACAGTTCCTGCCTTTCAATCTCCATTTCTTTATTTACATTGGCTACTTCTTTGGGTCTTTCTGATTCTGATATAAAGAAACATGTAACCCCCGCCCATTGCAATGAAATGAGAATGCTCAACAGCAAGGACAACAGTGGTAATAAACCATTTGGGCCCAGATGACCACTGAATTCTGTGAGCAGAAAGGAGAGAATTCTCTTAGAATTTGACCCCTAAGTCTACACTCATTTCCATACGTTATTATGATGAAAAACCTGTTTAAGCTCCTTGACATCATTTTGCCATTATGCCCAAACTGCCCGCAGTGAAAAACGGGGGGAGGGGGGTACCAGGTGGAGTATGAAACTACCAGAAATGGATAAGAATGCCTAGAATGGTTTAATGGGAGCAGAGGGTGTTGGGGAGGAAGGAGGGAAAGCTCCAAAAGGTGTTCTGCTACCTGAATACCTATCATATGGTAGAAGATTCAGGTCATACCCTACGTGATGAAGACCAGCCATGCCCATCATCTGATAACCTGAAGATCTGAGATTGCATGGGGAGAGAGAGGGAGTGGAAATAGGGAAGCGGAACACATGAGATAATGAAAGGGCTATTGGCTATTGTTGAAACTGAGAAAGAATCTAAAAGAATTAGTGCTGGGATCTTATATTCAGTTTGTCCTATAAGCATGAAATTCCGGTAATACAGTTCCAGGTCCTTTAGGCAGGTCTTTGGAAATCAAGGGGACAGAGTTAAACAGGAGTATGAGACATGTAAGTTTAGAAGACTAAGAATTTTTTATGAAGGGGGGAAATCGGAGGGAGAGATGAACAATGAGAGACTATGGACCCTGAGACACAAACTGAGGGTTCTAGAGGGGAGGGGGGTGGGGGGATGGGTTAGCCGGGTGATGGGTATTAAGGAGGACCCGTACTGCATGGAGCACTGGGTGTTATATGCAAACAATGAATCGTGGATCACCACATCAAAAACTAATGATGTATTGTATGGTGACTAACATAATATAATAAAATTAAATTAAATTTAAAAAAAAACCCAGAAGACTAAGAATTTTTTGCAAGTATGGTTGTAGACCCTCAGAGGATCTTTAAAAAAAATCAGAGAGATTTGGGGGAGGTGGGGAAAGTGACCTAAATATGAGGCAGCCCAATATAACACTTGCAAGCCTCTAAAAATATAATTCACGATGATGCATCACCAGTGCATTGGTGGCAATGGAGGGTCAGAACTTCTGTTAGGTGTCATTTGTTTTAACTCCCCTGAAGTTGCTGGTAAATCAGAAAACTGGAAGAGTTTTAGCATGGAAGGAAGAGGAAAGGTGAGGGTAATCGGATTTATGGGGCCATCTGGCTGACCATGGTTCCCAGGGGCAGACATAGCTTTACAACATGAACTGACAATAATTTCTAACAATTCTCCCAAGCCCTCAAATCCCCCCAAACCTGCTTGTATGAAGTGGTCTTTCTTTAAAATCAATGCCTAAAAGAGATCTTACTGCTCCCATGGGGTAGTTGAGAAGGAAGGTTGCTGAGAGGGGAAAGGCTGAGAATCAGAAAGCCTAGTTTAGACCTCAATGCTTAAATTGCCTTTATAGGACAGAGAAAAGACTGGCGAGTGACTCAGATTCAAATGTTATGATTCAAAGAGCTTTGCTATTTGAGTCATACCCAAGGAGAGCCCTTATTCCAGGTTTAGAATTGCCTCTAGGTTCGTGCTCAGAATCACTACACCAAGGGGCACACTCAAGGTGTCCACTCTGGTCAACAGCAAGTTGGAACAGACTGGTGGTGGTGTACTGATGAACTGAAGTGTGCCCATGGATTCCCCTGAGAACTTGAGCTGTTGCTCCTTGAGGTGAGGGGTCGGTCAGGGATGAACTGAATGCTGCCAATGGCCAATCTCCCTATCTTTAGCCTGCCCTGCACCAGAGCAGATTTCCAGGATGAGCAGGGTCTCCCAACACTCTTGGAACTAGGGATGAGCTAGAACTCCCATAAACTCTTCAGTTGCCATCAGTGAATGCAGATTGTCCTTCTACATCTTCCCAAATCCTTCCATTGCCCATCCCAACCTTGCCCTTTGCAACCAGAAACCCCAGAGGTAAGATTGTCCCTAAACTGAACGTAAAGCTTTTGTCTGACACCACACAGACTTAGGACTTCAGACAGCTCAGCACCTGGGCAACTCATTACATTCATCAAATGTGATGTGACCAGGAAAGCTATTTGGGGGAAGAGGAAATAATAAAATTAGCCTGATTCATGCTAAGAAGTTACTATTGATAGAAGAGTATTTTGAAACTATAATATGATTCATATGTGCTAAATAACTAGTAGAAGTCAGTGTCACTGACAACCTCAAATTAGACACACTGAACATTCAAATCTCAAACTTGACTTAAAGATTCTTTTCTCTTACTGCCACAAAGAGTCAGTAGTGAGACCCACTCTTTTCCCAAACTGTGTCTTAATGAACGTGAGGACCACAAAACAAAAAAAAAAAAAAAAAGAAGAAGAAGAAGAAGAATAGTTGGACTGTGTAACACAATTAAAAGATTCTGGGTAAGTTAAAGGATGAAATGTTTTGAGCCCAAACTAACCTATGATGGCTTGGGAAAGTGTGAAGACCTTGGAGGGCAAAAGACAGGATCCAGATGCAGTGCCATCTCTGCCTAACTAAAGCCTGAGGCTCTCGGGGCTCCATTTTCTCATCTCTAAAATTATGATGAGGGAAAGAGGATATCAGATGAATTCCAAGGTCCCTTTCTGCAGTAGAATTCTATTCTGTTCTACAAAGACTATTCTAGGATGACTTTGCAGAAAAAGATAAAACCCAGTCCTTGCAGGAAAATGAGGCGAGACCTAACAAGAGCTATCAGACTCGTGATGCAGACATTCTATTTGAAATTGGAAATCCCTCCTGAAATTCAATTGTTATAATTTTTCAGGCAATCAGTACTTAGTGTTTTCCGGTAAGTCATTGCGATGACCTTGGAAAATGGAGAAAGACATGATTTCTAAAATCTGTTATTTCATCAATTTCTAGAGCTATTACCAAGGTCAGTATCAGATCACACTCCAGAATATACAGATTCTAATAATGAATCTCTTTTCACTGACTTAGGGTTTCCTCTGCCCCACCCCTCCACCTTAGGTCCTCTGTTAGGGCTTTTAAGACGTCTGGAAACACCTCTTAGTTAATCAGTCGCTGGGTCAGCAGCGGCAATCAAATGTGTTAAGTGTTTCAAAGCCCCCTGCAAATCAAGATCACATTGACCACAAGGCTCTGACTTCACTGCACCTTAGTCTATACCACTTGCAAAAAGATGTGAGTTCCACATATGGAAAGAAATGGGAAATAGGAATATCAATCATTCTTCTTTCCCCTTTCCTCTATTTACCCCACTCCAATTCCTCCCCCCTTTTCTTCTATTTCGAATTGGATTCTGTGTAAGAATCACTCCTTTAGTAAGTTCTTTCCACTTTTCCAGAACCCAGCTAAGACCATAAGTTGTTTTCTCATAGGCTGAACACTGCTACAGCCTGTGCCAGAAGGACCATCTCTCTGTTAACCTTTTTCAGCCCTTGATGATTTCCAAACAATTCTATCTGAGGATAAGTAGTGACCTCTATTGAATAAATAACTATAGATTTGTAAACATCAT